CAAGCTCAAAACCAAGAGGACCAGAGGCAGGAGTCAAAAAACCGGTTGACATGAGCGAGGTCGAGGACACGGGACAAGAACGAGGCATGGGGACAGAACGCTGGAAAATCACAGGCAAGGCTGATGAAAATCTGGTGATGAGCAGAGGTGAGAGGCTGACTAAGTAGTGGAGAACGCAGGTGAAGTGAGTTAATGAGAGGAAGGACAGAAAGCAAGAGCAGGCAGGGGCAGACATAATCATAACAATTTTATTAAAATATTAAAACATAGTATTATGTTTTAATAATACTATTAAAACATAATAGCCCACTGTTTTAAAAATACAGATAAGGTTAAGGTTGAAATCAGATTTGTCTCCAGGGGGGCTACAACGCCAAAATAGGCTCATCTCCAAAAGCAACCAAACATGTACTAAGTTGTTTCACGACAGTGTATTTATTAAACAAATGAAAATAATAAAACAGCATTACAATGTCATCACAGACTCCACTCACCCGGGTCACACACACACACATCCACATATACAATGGTCCTAAATGTACATTAATTAATCTACCTTTGCTTAGATAAATTGTTAGACAAATTGCTTAAAAGTAGAAACAATAACATTGGTAATGAGAGCCCATTTTATTGTTCATTGTATGTAACCACAAATATTAATCATTACTTTCTTTTAATAAAAGTCAGTTAACTTTAACTGGCCAAAATAAACCTGAAGGACTTTGTGTGTTTTTGTGTATGTGACTGATTCATTTTTGTTCCAACAGTACCATTACCGAGCCAGGAAGGAAAACTCTCAATAAAAATCACATTCATGATTTTTAAAAGGGGGTTTTCACTACGTATGTTAAATATCTGTACAGTGTTGATACTAGAGAGACACGAACAGCCGGAAACAAAGTCCTTGTGTGTGTCAACATACTTGGCCAATAAACCTGATTCTGAAGACTTATCTTGATTCATGCTGGACTTCCCTGTTTGACTCATCAGCACCACGTGTGTTTGGACATGGAATTACATCCACCATCATCACACTTGGTCAAATGTTAGATGAGAGACATGACAGGGCCACTTCAGGGGGCCAGTCAGATTTCTGCTGTGACCAGTGGCCCTGTGGCCCCACCCCTGGCGAGGATGGGCGACGTCCAATCCAGTATCAATAATTAAAACAATGTAGATAAAATTGTGGAGACTTGCATGTAATGGATAACAGTTTAGTTAAATGTCCTGTATCTTGTTGGAGTGTTGTCATGTTGTTGTCCTGCAGCAGTTTACTGTGCTGAGGTAGATGATTGACTACTGTCAACATCTTGGCTGAGAGGGTTCTGCAGATTCATTCTGTTTTATTCTTGTTCTGCAGGTCCAAGATTTTTTGACCAGGTTTGAAAACATCCCTGACATGTTGGAGTTGGACCACCTCACTGTATCAGGAGATGTCACCTTTGGAAAGAACGTCTCTCTGAAGGTAAAAGGTTTTTTAAGCATAAAGTTTGTTTTTAAATTAAGATTTACAAGGGAGCATTAAAGCACTGTTTTGTGAAAAGAACTTACTGTAGTAAAACTAACATTAAACAGATGGATACTACCATCGTGTGCTCATGAACAGTCAAGTCAAATCTAACCAATAAGTTTAAGATCTGTTCAAACGTCCTTTCTGGACAGAAAAAAACAAATTTATCAACCTGTAAATGTCTAAAAACTGTGAAAATCTAATTAAATTCACCAAATCTTGGCATATTGTTAGTTTTTTTTAACCTGTGAAGCGTCACTGAACTGTAAAAGCTCAACATGTAGCACAGATTTGTTTGGGGGGGATTAAACACACTGGATTATTTTGTTGTATTATTGATTAAAACAAAAACCTTTTAAAGATGCTTCAAGTCAAATCTGTAGCAGTATTTGTGTGAACAGAGGTGGCAAGAACAAATTACTGTATTTATTCATGTATAAGACTAGAAATGTAACCCTAAAAATCATCCAGAAAGTGTGTGTGTGTGGGGGGGGGGGGTAGTACACAGGTTATTGACAATTAGACTTTTATGCTTTTAAGCTCAAAACATGATCGTTTTACTCTCAAGATTGTGTAATACATGACCAAATACTGTAAGTTTTATACCAATTTACAACTCTTGTTCCCCTTTCACCAGGGAACTGTCATCATTGTTGCAAATCACGGCGACAGGATTGATATTCCAGCTGGAGCAATGCTGGAGAACAAGATTGTGTCTGGAAACCTGAGGATCCTCGACCACTGAAGCCTTCGAGAGAAAAAAAATAGTCTCAACCAAGTCTCAGCCAAGTCTCAACCAAGTCTCAACCAAGTCTCAACCAAGTCTCAGCCAAGTCTCAACCAAGTCTCAACCAAGTCTCAACTAAGTCTCAGCCAAGTCTCAACCAAGTCTCAACTAAGTCTCAACCAAGTCTCAACTAAGTCTCAGCCAAGTCTCAGCCAAGTCTCAACTAAGTCTCAACCAAGTCTCAACTAAGTCTCAGCCAAGTCTCAGCCAAGTCTCAGCCAAGTCTCAACCAAGTCTCAACTAAGTCTCAACCAAGTCTCAACCAAGTCTCAACTAAGTCTCAACCAAGTCTCAACAAGCTCAGACTCCATTTTCTTCTGTTCTCAGACATCTGTAACTATGTGACGACTGTTTGTAATAAGAAATGCAAACATTAAGGTGGAAGCTCAGATTTATCCTTGCAGTTAATCATGAAGAAACTCACTGTTCCTGCACATCAACACTGCAAACTGCATCTTTCTGTCAGTAAAATAACGCAGTGTGGGTTAGCTGATCTGTGGTTTGAAAACCTGACATTTTACAAAAGAGAGGTGACTGCATGTGTCAACACAATATCACTGGACAGATCTGAATAAAACTATCGAAAGCTAATTTTCAGATGTACCTCTTCCTATTCTGGAGTCAACACAAGATGGCCACAACTACCAGACATCAGCAAACAATCAAATGATTATGACAGTCAGTCAGTTTAACATCGAGCTAAATTATTAGACAGTTTCCAACTTTGGTATGTAAGTTGATCTGCTGTTTTTCAGAAATGTTACTATAAATACAAATCCTGTTTTACAGTATTTAAATCTGTCATGCAGGCAGATTCAGTTTGTAACATGATCCATTTGTTACCAAAATAAAATCCTGGACAGGAGCTGAAATAAGCTCCAACCAGGAGGAGCTCGTAATAATACACCTGCTGCTCCTTCTCACCCCAAGGGTCAGCTGAGGTGGTTCAACCAACATTTACATTTGAAGGTTTTTTAAGTCCTGCAGGACGGAGCCATGTATCCTCTCTGGCCTGGGAACACCGAGGACTTTTCCCCTCTTTACTCAAAATTTAGTTAATGTTATGGCTTGTATGTGGCACAGTGGAGGATATAGCTTGAAAATATGATTGAAGTTTTCTGTTTTTCATGCAGCTGCATGGTCTATAACCTTAATTCAGATTACTGTACGTCATTTAAGTTGAAAGAACACTGCCTGGCCACACACAGGTCGAACAAGTCACCACAAAAAAAGAAAAAACAATGGTCACACCCTATTTAACTGGACTGCTTTAAGCTTTGATTACAGCAAAGCTAAATGTGGGCGGGCAGGGGGGGGGGGGTTATTCTCTAAAACGCTGCATGTCATTTTCAGCAATTATGCTTTAACATACCCTCACCGGCCACTTTATTAGGTACACCTGTCCAGCTGCTCGTTAACACTTAATTTCTAATCAGCCAATCACATGGCGGCAACTCAGTGCATTTAGRCATGTAGACATGGTCAAGACAATCTCCTGCAGTTCAAACCGAGCATCAGTATGGGGAAGAAAGGTGATTTGAGTGCCTWTGAACGTGGCATGGTTGTTGGTGCCAGAAGGGCTGGTCTGAGTATTTCAGAAACTGCTGATCTACTGGGATTTTCACGCACAACCATCTCTAGGGTTTACAGAGAATGGTCCGAAAAAGAAAAAACATCCAGTGAGCGGCAGTCCTGTGGGCGGAAATGCCTTGTTGATGCCAGAGGTCAGAGGAGAATGGGCAGACTGGTTCGAGCTGATAGAAAGGCAACAGTGACTCAAATAACCACCCGTTACAACCGAGGTAGGCAGAAGAGCATCTCTGAACGCACAGTACGTCGAACTTTGAGGCAGATGGGCTTCAGCAGCAGAAGACCACACCGGGTGCCACTCCTTTCAGCTAAGAACAGGAAACTGAGGCTACAATTTGCACAAGCTCATCAAAATTGGACAAGAGAAGATTGGAAAAACGTTGCCTGGTCTGATGAGTCTCGATTTCTGCTGCGACTTTCGGATGGTAGGGTCAGAATTTGGCGTCAACAACATGAAAGCATGGATCCATCCTGCCTTGTATCWACGGTTCAGGCTGGTGGTGGTGGTGTCATGGTGTGGGGAATCTTTTCTTGGCCCTCTTTGGGCCCCTTGGTACCAATTGAGCATCGTTGCAACGCCACAGCCTACCTGAGTATTGTTGCTGACCATGTCCATCCCTTTATGACCACAAAACCGTTACTAGCGTGGTGTACCTAATAAAGTGGCCGGTGAGTATATTTGTAGAGCGTTGCTGTAAAGTGACTGTTCACTGTGTGGGCTGCATCTACCTGTTACCAGGTAGACCTACAGGGAGCAGTAGCTGCCAACATACCTCAGAAACTCGCTGCGTTTTATATTATATTACATTTTGTTTGGTCAATTACAGCCCTGTTGTTTACACAACGCTGTAATCTGTCTTGGACGGGCCGGATACCTGAACAGGCTGGCCCAACCAATGAATCCTGGCATTGTCATCTTGGAATATGGCCGTGCCATCAGGGAAGAAAATAATCCAAGCTGACCTCATTCTTTGAACACATACTGTTGCTGAACCTAGACCTGACCAACGGCAGGAACCCCACATCACAGCACTGAGGTCAACCCAGGGGTGAGTTTATGAGAAGTGTTGTTCCAAATAATAATAAATAAGTCAATAAATCCTACAGGGATTATCTGCTTTTTGTTGACTGAATTTATTCATGTGGAAATTCAGACTGAAAACATCAACTGGAAGTTAAAAATGATTCAACAAGTTGCTCCATCACTGTTTTTATTCACAGCAGTTAATAACTCCACACCTGGACTCTGGTACATGCTGCCTGACCCAAACTTTTTCCACAACCCTAATCATTACTGGTCTATTCTTTACCCTAACCAGAACCTAAGTCACACCGTACCTCTAAACCTAGTTAGGGTTGAAAGAAGCTCTGTGGTTCCAGGAAATCCACTAACTCAGTTCATACTGGGAGATGAACTGTAAGACCTTGTGAGCTCCAGTGGTGTGTTGCACTCTTATAATCTTGAGGCTGTACGTTCATGCCCTGGTTCAGTCAGATAAGACATAAACTATTACCAAATGTTTTATGAGTTTACAGCTCTGGAGTCTTCTGAAGAAAGGAAACATCTTCACACTTTGATGTGTTCAGACTGGAGCACAGACCAAACAGCTTTCATTCATTAAAACCAAGCACACAAATCCAATGTTTGAAGATTTTAGATAAAGCTTGGTGTTCAGTTTCCCAATAAGCACACAGGAGCTGATCAATGCAAAAAGCTTTTCCTGATTTATTTTTTACATTCTCAGTAATGTCTAAACTTCTTGCAGCATTAACTTGTTTTTTTTGGGTCTTGGTTCCCACTTATTTCTTTGTGCTTTAACCCTTTAACTGCTGGGGACTGTGTGAGTCTTCACAGCTGTCAGCTGTACACTTTAGAGAAACTAGAAAACAAGAAGCTGATTTTATGTTTTTTCAACCTCAGAAAAACAACAAGCTTCTTGAACTACAGCATAAGATGAAGGGTTGCTCTTTGTGCCCCACATCCATTAACATGTTTCAAAAACACAAAAACAGATTGTTCCCATGTGTCAGACTATCAGCCCGGTAAAGACAAGCTTCACAAAGTGTTTTACTTTGATTATAACAGGACAAGGTTTGTGATGCTTTCACAGTCTAGATGGTTTAATTCTTCAGGATCAAGGTTCCTTCAACACAACAAGTCCTGACAACATTACCTGTGAGTATAAAAATAAAAGAAAACAACCTTCATCATTATTTTGATCAGAATCATCATCATCACAGCCTGCTGAAGGAAGATGTCACCACAGCTTGTCTCTAAAAAAGGACAGAAATAAATTAGCCAGCCATTTCTTTTTCATTATCCACAGCTCCCCACTACAAGTCTCAAGTACTTTACTAGTATTTTTCTTTAATTGCACAAAGTGAAGTGGCCGCAGGCTTTCGGTTTCCTGATGAAGTTTTTCAAACTGGAAGTTCCAGGTCACTGCTGCTGGTCTCCTTCACCCAGTTTAATTTGTTTGGGTCATTCAGAGCCTCATGCAGCCTCTTCTGCCGGCTGCTGTTGGCCGAGGTCACCCCTGATTTCGGGGTTGGTTTGTGAGTTTTGTTCTGCATGTCCAGACTCCGTCCTCTATCACCTTTTCTGTTCCCAGATCTCAACCATGTTCAGACTGAGTCGTTCGAGGCTCTTCAGTGCTTGGATGTTCTCTGTGTAGAAGGCCACATCCACCACCACCAGCCTGCAGACAGGTCACAGCTTTTAAACACTTATGATCACAAGAAAGAGTAAGATTTTTAAAATGACCGTTATAAAATCAGAACAAAATTAAATTATTAGGTTACAAAAGATCCAGGAGTTTGAGATATCCAAGCTTGAAGCCATGTAGGGGAGCCAAATAAGATAATCACAACTTGTTTTGGGAAGAGTCTGACTTCTGTAGATTTGCTTGTTGCCTTAATGTCTCATTAGAACTCTCATGGTGAAACTCCAATCAGCCAGATTTGTTGGTCAGTCCTCGCCTTCACCGAGCACAACTTCTTAGTGTTGAACCAGGGCAGCACCTAAAAAAGGCAGGACCCTGGCCCTGGAGGACCGACTTTGTACACCACTGGTCTATACATTAGGAGCCACATCTGGCATCCAGCTTGTGGCTCTGCTCCAGCAGTGCTTCAGTCTGGAGTCTGTGTTGACAGCACTGCAAATTCCATCACACAAGGCGGGTAGCCTCATCAATGGCTCCAGACACTTTCCGAATTTCACAATATGGCAGATATCCACCACCTCCAATCAGCATGAACCCTGCTATCATTAATCCAAGTATATAAACATCTTCAACGTCCTCAATCAACAGCATAGAAAGGCACATCATCTTCCAATCAACACTGAAGGGACATTTGGCTGCAGGATAAGAGGACTCTCCTTCCCAGTTTCCATGTAGAAAAAAATTGCTCGGTAGCGTTAAGGGACCAGCTGACAAGATCCATAATTTCCATTATTTATGAAACAAAAGAGTTCAAATTAAAGCAGACAGCCGACCGGCCAGCTCCCTGCCCCAGTGAAGCCACGCCCAGGACCACCCCCACACACTGCCAATGGACAAGCGCACACCCACAACCGACCACCTGCCGGACTACGGCAGCCACCCCAGCTAGCGTGCCGACCACAGCAACCAGGAACCAGACCCCGGGAGCCAGAACAGTCCCAGGGAAGCTGGAGCGCCAGCCCCGTCCCTGCCACCCCTCCAAGCCCCATGTCTGCCAGCAGTCCAGGCCCCACCAGACGGTCTGCCCCTCATCTGGACCCCATCCCCAAAAGGCCAACGGGGAACGGGGGAGTGAAAAACACCCCGACACACACACCCCCACCTTCAGATGTGCTGTTGATGCGTGTTGTTCTATAATGTAATTAAAACGGGGAAGAAGACAGGGCAGAGGCTGACACGGTGCCAGTTTCCCCTAGACCCCAACTCTAACCCTAACCCTAAATGTCTAAAAGCAAACATTGGGAGTGGGCACAGGCATCAGTGGGGAGAGTGTTCCATCCCGCCCCTTGCATGCAATAAGTGCCTACCCCCAAGTCCCTAAATGTAAATGTTATGAGGATGTTATAAGTGAATGTCTAGGGCAGGGGTGTCAAACTCAGGTCCTCAAGGGGCGCTATCCTGCATGTTTTCCTTGTTTCTATGCTTCAACACACCTGATTCAGTGCTTCAATTAACTCCTTAAATTCTGTGGAAGCCTGTTAATCATCCATTCATACAAATCAGGTGCGTTTGAGCAGGAAAACAAGAAAACATGCAGGACAGTGGCACACGAGGACCGGAGTTCGACACCTGTGGTCTAGGGTGTACAGTAAAATTGGAGCTCAGGTGGTTATAGCAAACAGAGATGTAAAATTGTTGCTCTTTATAACACACCTGCACCCCAAAAACCCTACATGAGTGCAGTTGAAAATGAAGAGGGTGGAAGTGTGTGGTAGGGGATGGGGAGAAAAAAATGACAGAGAGCCAAATGCTCCCACAGGGGGTCAGCTCCCCCGCTGACCCTGGTAGGCTCTCCCGTTTCCCAAGACCCACCCAGGGAATGAGGCCCCAATACCTCTTCCTCCGGATAGACCGGCAGGCCCTTAAAGCCCCAGATCAGTGATAGACAGAGCCCAGAGGACCGCCAGAAACTGGGACCAACAGTCCCCAGAGTTGTCCAGACCACCAAGACCCGACCCCCTGCCCCACAGCCAGCCCGCAACCCAAAGAAGCTACAGAACCCCAGCAAGGACGATTCAGTTGAGAGTGCACACCCAGCCGCCGACAGTGCAAGGAGGGACCAAGAGCGAACCTCTGCCACAACAAAGGGGCCAGCCAGCCGACTCAGCGCAGCTCCCGGCCACCACCAAGGCCACCCACCCAGCCCCCACTCCAGAAAAAATACTATATCCACCCCATCATTCAGATAACTCTCAGAACATATAGCACGCTAGACACCCAGGCTGAGTTGGAATATCCCCTCCCACGGGCCACTGGCCCCACCTACAGACAGCCCAACCTCCCAGCTCATGAGATCCGTAGCCCAACAGTGCACCAAAGGCCCCCTGCCCAGAGCCGGGCACCAGGGCACAAACCAGCCCAGAGCCCGGCAACCCGCCCGCCAGGACTCAAGCCCCCCCGGCCCCACCAGGACCACAGCCCAGGGACGGCACGACCCCAGAACCCTAAGCCCCCCGCGCCCACCCCGAACCCACCCCAGCACAGCCAGGCGACCAAGTCAGCGACCCATGACCGCTGCTACAGACTACCTGAGGGCCCGCATGCAGCCACTAGAAGACACTCCCCAGAACCACCAAGATCCCCCC